CACACACACACACACACACACACACACACACACACACACACACACACTCACTCACTCACACACACACTCACACACACACACACACTCACACACTCACTCACTCACACACACACTCACACACACTGCCCCATGCACTCGCTGTCTTCAGGTGCCAGGTGCGGGAGGAAGACGGGCGGCGCCAACGCCATCTGGCACTGAAACGAAAAGTGGTTGTGGCGCTTGCATTTGCCGCCATGATTGACGCGTTGTCGAAAAAACAGACTATTTATCGCCGCGTGGTGAGTACTCACGCGTGACGTGCTTGTTGTGTTTGTTTGTTTGTTTGTTTGTGTGTGTTGTGTGTGCGTGTGTGTGTGTTGTGTGTGTAGGGTTGCTGTTTGGCATGCTTGCCAGCCGAGTGCCGTTGGCCACCTCCTCACACACACAACACCCGCAACACGCCCTCACACCCACAACACCCACAACACCTTGGCAGCTGCCGTCGCTGCGCTTCTCGCTGTCTCGCGTGTTTGCGCGCCTGAGTGTATCTGAGCTGCGCTTGATCACGCGCACACGCTGCAGCCCTCACCACACCGACATTCACAACATCAAGTGGTGATGCTGGCCATGGGCTGGGGGGGGGGGGGGTGACGATGCACTGTGTTGCGTGCATGGAACACCGCAATGGAGCCGAAATGGAGCATCGTGTGGAACATGCTGCTAATGGAACAACACCTTCGTAATCACACGTGAAGATCAGAGTACAACAACACACGCTCTTGGTGGTAGCTCGCTCCCCCTTTCTTGCCCATCCTCATCATCCTCATCACACAGGGAGAGCAGCCAGTGCAACACACACACACACACACACACACACACACACACAACAACACAACACACACACCACACACACACACATTCACATCACATCACCGCACACACACACAATACAATTATTTTTCACCCGCTCGGTGTCAATTCCATGCGGTATTAATTCAGTCGTCGGGGGGAGGGGGGATTGGGATTGGGACAATACGACGCCCTCATACGCCACCACGCGCGACCTATTTTTTGCCTGCAAGCTCCACGCTGTCCCGTACGGTCTTGGACCATCATGCCAAATCATTGCTAAATTTCTGAATGTGGGCGCGAAATTGCCCCAGCTCAACCGCCTTGTTTAAACAGCGACCGCGGCTGCAAAGATGCCAAGCCACGAGCACGCGCGCGCGCGCTTCTTTCCTGCTTCTTGCTTTGCCGCTTTCGCTTTGTGCGTGGAGTGGTTTTTTCATCTTTTTTTTTTTTGGCTTGCCGCCATCGCCGGATACAGAACAAGCCGTGAAGAGGGAAGGAGGAGGAGCAAACACGTCCACCACGCACACGCAACACAAGCACACCGCCAACCAAGAGCCACACCCGTAAGTTTTGGCTTTCTGTGTTTTTTCACATCTCTGCCAACACGACGCCAACCGTGCACGATCGCCTGCCACGTTGCGCTGTTTGTTTGTCGACCCATTTCCAACCAACTCTCCCCCCACAATCACACCACACTTTCGCCACGCAACCCGCCCCCCTCTTGGCCGCATTCTTCGTGGGTTCGTTGTGTCGTTCGCACCGTTGCCTTCCCTGTCCTTTCCCTCAAGCACCAACGAAGCGCGTGTGTTGGCTTGGGTTATTTTTTTTTGGTTGCCTCTCTTTGCCGGCGCCCGCCCTCCGTGTTTCGTGGCTTGCCTCCCTTGCTCTCGTTGTTTGTAGGCTGGCTTGTGGTTGGCTTTGTGTGGTTGTGCTGTAACCCACCATTCCACACAGCAACCACCCCGGCGTACCTTCGCGTGGCTGTGCCATCACAACACAAACACGACGTCTTCCACGTACGCAAACAAACACGCAACGTGTCCGATCCACGTATTGCTTGCTTGCTTTTGCTTGCTTGCTTTGTCGTTGCACCCACCACACCCCGCGCGCACACTCCCTCCCACTTCAGCGTTCCCCACAACACGCACACAACGCACACACACGCACTCTCTCTTTGTGACTTGAGCCTACCAAACCCTCATCAAACACAACGTACGCACACGCGCACCATCACGAGGTCATCCAACGGTCGCTCCTCCAACACCTCAAACCTTCCCCTTTCTTTTCTCCACCACCACCTTTCCTTCCACCTCAGCCACCACCAAGCTTCCCGTTCCCATCCCCCCCCCCCTTTTTCAACTTGTGCATGCGTGTCGTCGTCATCAACCCACTCACGCACAAACACGCACGCACGCACAAACACAACACCTTTGTTCCTGCCTCCGACAACAGACACACACAGACGAACACACCCATCAGCATCAGAAGAGCAACGACAGCTTCCTTTGTGCGCTCTGCTCTGCATGAGCCCACAATAGTCGAACCCCCTGTGCCGCTGTTTATTTTGCTTGCAAGCACCATCTGCCACGACAGCGTTTCGTTGGTTGGCGTTGACTCTGTTCCCGACACCTTGTGATCCTCTGCTGCACATGTCCGGCAGTCCTGCCACACTCGCATCTCTGCCCATTCCTGTCCACCAAGCACCCGTAGCCATCTCAGACCAAACACCAGCCCTGCCGCCCCACCAGCAACCCCACAAGCAGCAGCAGCCGCCACAGCAGAAGCAGCAACAGCCTCTTCTGTCGCAGCCGCTGCAACCGCAACCAGCCATGACCCGCGGTACAAGCGTGGGCGGGGCGCACGACTATCCCCAGGACCACAGCCTGCCGTTTGCGGCGGACACCGCCTCCGCACCAACAACAGGCGCAACCACGCCGCCCACGGGCTCAGATGCATCCATGCCCATGCTCTATCAACAGCCGCATCACCAGCAGCTGCACGTTTCAGCACCCCCTTACACGTCCAACCAACAACCGCCACCCATGCCGCCGCAACAACCCATGCATCACCAGCACCATCAACAGATGCACCAACACCAACAGCCGCAACAACAGCAGCACATTCCCCCCATCTCCCACAATCCACACCATCTCCACCACCAGCAGCAGCAGCCGCAGTACCGGCCGCACCACAACAGCCATCAACACCCGCACCATCAAGGCCACCGCCCACACCACGCCCACCCGCACCATGGCCACCATCATCCCCACAAGTCCAATCGTGGCAGCGGTGCACCGCCCAATGGCCAGGTCGTCGGCCCCACGGAGAACAACCCCTTTATCAAGAAGGGCAACACCCGCTACAAGACAGAGCTCTGCAGGGCTTGGCTCGATGGCAAGGTCTGCAAGTACGGCGAAAAGTGTCAGGTCAGTCCCATGTGCGCGCGTGCGTGTGTGTTTGTGTGTGTGTGTGTGTGTGTGTGTGTGTGTGCGTGCGTGTGTGTGTGTGTGTGCGTGCGTGTGTGTGAAGGGCCACAGGAGCAGTGAAGCCGAACGAAACGCTGTGCAATGCTGTCATGTGCTGTTTGTTGCTGTTGCAACAACGCCGCTCCCCGCCCCCAAACTCACCCACGGACACAAACACGCGCATGTTGTGACAGTTTGCGCACGGTGAGGAAGAGCTGCGCCCCATCCAGCGCCATCCAAAGTACAAGACGGAGCTGTGCCGAACCTTCCACACCACCGGCGTCTGCCCATGTAAGGAGCCACAGCAGGCCCTGCTCGCTTTGTCGTGCATGCATGCATGAATGCATGCAACCAAGCAAGCGTTTGCTTCTGCTCCACCTGCGACTGCATGCACACCATAGACATCTTGTTGCTTCGTGTGCTTTTTGACATGCACCGTTGTACGTTTACCCATGTACGTGCTGACAACCCCATTCCACACCTCACTCCTCCCACACCTCACTCCTCCCACACCTCACCCCCTCCTCACCCCTCCCCACATCTCACCCCCTCCTCATTCCCTCGCCTCTTCCCCCCCCCCCCAAAAAAAATTCCACCTCAGACGGCCCGCGCTGCCACTTTATTCACGAGATTGAGAAGGACGCTGCGCTGAGACGCATGTCAAACATTGCCCAGCAGCAACAACAGCCGTCGTCACAGCGGTCAGGTGGCCACAAGCAGCGCCACCCACAACATCGCCACTCCCACGACGGCCAGCCCGCCTTTGACAAGCGACACCCATCGCAGCAGCAGCAGCAGCAACCAAGCCACACGCAGCCACGTCAACGGCAGCACACGCACCAACGGCAGCACTCGCATCCGCTCCAGCAGCCCTACGACCTGCAGGGCATGGTGGACGACCAGCAGATGCACATCCCGCCGTACCAGGGCGGCCCATCTCTCTACGGCAGCGCCAGCCCATACGCGTCATCGTCGCCCTCGGGGCCCTTGGACTCCACCGAGCTGCACTCGGCGCTCTCGCAGCTGCGTCTCGACCACTCGCAGTCGTACAACAGCAGCTACAACCCAAGCGCCCGTGACTCGCCAACCGTCGACCCAGCCACCGCATCGTACTATCCAGACATGTGAGTGCATCCGTTTGTTTGTGTGCGTGTGCGTGTGTGTGTGTGTGTGTGTGTGTGTGTGTGTGTGTGTGTGTGTGTGTGTGTGTGTGAACACCGGAAGACTTTTCTTTGGCTTTGTTGCCATGCATGCATGCAAATCGCAAGTTCATTTGGTTGTACACCATCAGTCCCCGTTGTTTGGTCATCATCCCCTCACCACCATCATCATCATCATCATCATCATTCACACCACAACCATTGCAGGACGGCGACGGATGCGACGAGCGTGCCATCATACATGCCGGCGTCCCACCAGTCCCTGCCCACCACCCCACTGTGGACGCGCAACTACTGGTCCAACAGCGAGACGTCCATCTCCTCGGAGCCCATCCCCTCACGCTCGCGCCGCCTGTCCCCCGTGTCCGTGAACAGCGGCTCTGGCAGCAACACCAACATCGCCGCGCACGCCACCACCGTGCCTGCCCGCGCCCCGCATCACCTCTCCCAGGAGCAGCCGCACCCAGCTGCACACCAGCAACGCCAGCAGCAACACCAGCAGCAGGCGTTCGCCCACCCGTTCTCCAAGCAGGCTGAGACAATGCATCCATATGCACCTGTGGCGGCCACGACGACAACGACGTCAGCGAGCACCAACCCCACCCCATCCTCCACCTCCACGGCCACAAGCGCCATGGCGTTCCACCCGTCCATCCGCCGCGTGGAGCAGCACCTCTCCATGGACCACCACCACCACCGCTCCCACTCGGCCAGGGGCAGCCTGCCGCTGCACTTCCTCAGCAGCCACCCGTCCTCCGGGCACGGCTCCACGCAGTCGTTGCCGCTCGAGGCCACGGCCCACCGCACACCGCCAGGCAGCCACCGCGCGAGCGCCATGCTCAGTATGGATGCACCGGGTATGGAGCGCGGGCGACAACGTCACGACCCGTTTGACGCAACCACGGACAGCGAGATGTACGCCACAGCGAGCAGCGTGGCCTTCAGCGCCATTGATGACGACGATGATGATGATGCCGGCTCGTCCACAGGCAAGGCCCCAACCACCACCACCACCGCCGCTGCCACGTCCTCCGCCCCGGCGGTGGCGTCAAGTGTGCCTGCTGCCCTCAAGATGCCATGGGCGCGTGTGGTGGCGAGCGAACAGGCGTCTGCCCGCTCCTCCGCGCGCTCGTCGGATTCGTGGGCCGTGCCGCCGCTGGGCTTTGGCGCACACGAGTACTCCTCCTCGCACGCGTCGCCATACTCGCCGCCGTCCAACGCCGCGCCAACGGGCTCGGCCAACTCACCGTCGAGCGACCACCACAGCCACGCCAGCAAGGACTACTCGAGCGACATGTCGAGCGCCTACGACCACCACCTCGACCAGCACCAGCAGCAAGCAGGCCAGGGCCAGCGGGGCAGCGTCAACATTGCCACCAGCAGTGGCGCCACCAGCCCGCGCAAGGCGTCGGAGACGTCGGGCGCATCTGCCCCCCACTTCTCCCTCATGGACCCCATGCATCTGCTGCACCAGTGAAGCGCGTGCTTCTGCGGCATGTGCGTATTGTACTCGTCATGCCTGCATGCATGCAATTTTCGTTTTTCTTGTTTTGGGAGGGAGGCCAATGAACTTATTCCATGCCGCTGCTCCTTTATTTCTTCCTTGAGCTCCTGAAGACACGCTCTTCTTCTCCTTGTCGCGAGGGAAGGAGAAGGTGTTGTTTTCACCATTCTGTTTTGTCCCCTCGATTGTTGTGCGCGGTCGGCTGCTTCTAATTTCTGAAGAAGGTGTACATGATGTTTGCTGACCTCTGAGCCATCTGCGCAATACCACGCCGTTCCCACACGTGGTCCTCTTCCCATTCGTTGCTCCCCTCCACACCTCCCATCCCATCTCATGTGTCTAGCTGAAGCGTTGTTGTTCGTTCCCTCTTTTTCCGCCCACAACCTCAAAACAAACACCGTGCCTTCTTCTTATTTGTTGCGTGATGATGATGATGATATGATGTGTGGATGCTTTCTTGGCTGGTTGATTGACTTATTGGTTTGGTTCTATCATCATGGCACACAATTCGTTCCCATCTTCTTATTTGTGGCCTTGTAGTATTTGTTGTACTCGCATATTTGTGCTTGTGGGTGGGCCTTGTGTTCGACGCACGCCCAGTGGTCTGTTCTGTTGCATGCATGCATGGCCAGTCACCCGTGCGCGCGCGCGTGTGTGCGTGTGTTGGTTGCACTATTTGTTTTGCCATCTGTGGCAGCAGAAGCAGCACGGCCATTTCAGCCTGCACAGAGGTGTCGGCTGTCAGTGCTTTGCTGTTTCGCTGTCGTTAATGATGCATGCATGCACTGTGTCGTGCCTCGTTTCGAGCGGCTATTTTTCCTCAAGCCCACACAAGCATCTCTATGTACTTTTGGGTGTGCTGTCTCCCTTGTTTGCTCTTTTTACTACGCTTATTGTTCCCTCTTTGAGCAGCACCATTCTTATTCTCCCCTTTCCCCGCTCCGTAGCTGTGTACATGTACGAATGTAAGCTTATGTTTTGTCCCTGCAAGTTTCCATTTTAGTCACAAGCAGCTTTCTTCCTCCCTTCGTGTTGTTTTGCTCTGTTCTTCGAGTCGCCTTACGCCATGCCACCCGTGTGTTTTGTTGTTTGTCATTGTTGACATTGTTGTTGTTGGATTGCCGTCTCCAACGCCTCAAAATCAAAGAGCCATGCGTTCACGTGTTTCATCGCGTCTTCAGGCCACACGTTCTTGTTTGTTTTCTTTTCCACCGTTTTCACTTTCCTGGAACCTTTGAACGTGATGCGTGTGACAGTGTTTGTGAGCCGTGGCCATGCTGGTGCTTACAGGAGCACACCCGTTTCGTTTGATGGCAGTGTTGGTCTTTGTTTGGTGTCTGTTATGTTAGTGGTGGCAAGGCTTTTTCTGTTTTGCACTGTGTTGTTGTTGTTGTTGTAGCTTGTTCGTTCCACAACGCTTTGTTGTGTCACGTGCCTGTCATTTTGAATTCATCTTCCTAGCTTGCTTGCTTGCTTGAGTGCTGTTTTGTTGTGTCTCCTCATTACACAAATCGTACGTCAACGTTTGCTGATGATTGTGTGTGTGTGCGTGTGCGTGTGTGTGTGTTGAGAGCTTTGGGGGTGATTGTGTACTGTTGGTGAACGTGACAGATGGCAAAACGCAGCAAGTGGGGAAAGCGCGACCACCTGTGCACGGTGGCAAACACGTGTGCATGGCAGCAAGAACAAAAAGCAAAAAGCAAAGAATGGCCAATAACGAAAGCAAAATGAGATGATGACAGCGCAAGCGGAACAAGGTAAGGCATTGGTGAACATCAAAACCAGGCCTTTGAATCATGCAACACACGCACGCACGTGCGCGCGCGTACGGATGTACGTCAGTCGCATGTGCGCACATGCATACCCAGGTCAACAGCCTGATGGTTTGGGAAAGTGTGGGGGAGGACCACGAGGACAGCGCTCGGCCATGTGCGGAACCATGGGACGACTGTTGTAAAACGGAAGATCCATCCGGTACTTGCCCAAGATCTGGTGGGCGGGTATTGAAGAACAGGACGAGAAGCAGAGATGGCCGCATGTATGTGTGAGCTTGCCAGTGCAACCTGGCAAGATACAACAGACCTGAACACGTAAAAAACACACACACACACACATACAAACACACACACACACACACACACACTTACACATACTAATACACACAGCCAACCTGGCAGAATGGGAGGTCTGGGTCGGCTGCCTTGCACGCGGCCGGACGGGGTGTGGTCGAGTCAAAGATGTTCAGCGTGTACGCATCCCTACATGGTTATATGTGTGAACATGTGTGTGTGTGTGATTGTGTGAGCGCGCGTGTGTGTGTGAACATGTGTGTGTGATTGTGATTGTGATTGTGTGTGTGTGTGTGTATACAACAGAATGGCAAAACGAAGTGGAATGTTTGTCATGCCACATGCTTGGTGATCATATTCAACTTGCACCGCAACACACACACACACACATGCGCGCGCAAAGTGCGCCTGTAACGCACCAGTTTGTAAACTCTGTGCACTGGATCTTGTCGGTCAAAGCGCCCATAAGGCCTGCTGCCTTCCACGTCTCGCACACAAGCACGTCGCACACCATCGAGTACCCATCCACGTATTGCCACGAGTCCTGACGTGTGGTGGTATAGTGGGGTGGTGTGAGAAGAGGAGGGCGCAATAGACTTGCGAGTCGCATGATTGCGACACAAAGAGCGCACATACATTCCATGCACGCATATGCACGCACACACATACATACATACACACACACCTGCTCTGGCATGGCAAAGAGGGTGGTGAAGGAGATGTTGCGGCTGGCGGCGGTGTCGTAGACCTCGGCAACCGTCAGGTTGGCAGTGCCAAGACGCTGTCACGTGACATGATGAAGAGGATGGCGTGAGCAGGATGGAATATGCGTGTGTAATCGATGTTGATGGCATGGCATGCACCAAGCAAAAAAACAAAAACAAAAACAAAAAACCAATTACAAACATGCAATGCAACCCATTATGTTACAAATCATTTGACTGCTGTTCGTTTGGTCAGCACACCTTGTTGAGTGCCATCGTCCACATCATCGCGGCAATGTCCGCATCCACCTTCTCCACCAGCCCAATCAGAACCTAACAGCAGGTGGTGATTGCGACGACGACAACGATGATGTTTGATATTGATGTTGATGTTGATGTTGATGTTGATGTTGATTGATGTTGATGGAGGGGAGGAGGATATTGTGAGCGTTGGCAATAGGACCAACGCAACAAGAGCACACACACACACCCACACACCCACACACACCCACGCACACACACACACACACACACACACACGTACGCATGTCTAACCTGCCGGTACGGGGTCTTCTGAATGCCGTCTGTTGGCCAATAGGAGGACACGGTTGTGCTCTCGCAGATGTACAACTCGCCATCAAAGCGAAGCGCTACGGTCGTGTGACCTGTACGATTGTGTGTGTGTGTGTGTGTGTGTGTGTGTGTGTGTGTGTGTGTGTGTGTGTGTGTGTGTGTGTGTGTGTGTGTGTGTGTGTGTGTGTGTGTGCGTGATGCAAGCGGCACCGAATACAATGTTCGGCAACTGAGAGAAAAACCGCAATCACCTCTTCCCCTCCCCCCCCCCCTTCGGCCCAACTCCCAACGTGCGTGCGTGTGTGCACCTGTGTGAGCGCCCATCGCCCAGGCGAGCATTGGATCAAGGCCATCGAGACGCAGGACGCCAAAGAAGTCGCCGTCCTGACCGAAGATTGGTGGTGGTGGTGGTGGTGGTGTGAGGGACACAGGTGGGCCAAGGCTGCACCAGCACGCAGGACTGCGTGCACATGAACACGCACACACTAACACACACACACTAACACACACACACACACACACAAACAAACACACACACACACACACACACAATATACTGACGTGGATGTCGCTCTCGTCTGGGATCACATCTGTTGTGTTTCGCTCCGGCAGCTCATAGAACGCTTTTGCCCGCAGAAACTCTACGTTGCGTGCGCCAACCTTCTCCCACACCTATCAAGTTGGCATGTTGTGACAGCGAAGAGATGAGAGAGGCGGGGTTGGAAGTGGTGAGTGGGTAACGTTAGCTGGACTCACGCAGTGTGGGCGGGCATATTCAAACGCAAGCAAATGCAAGCAAACCAGTACACATATACAAGCAAGCAATCAACCCCATGCCCACGCACACACACACACACACACACACACACACACACACACACACACACACACACACACACATCAGCATACACTGACGGACCTCGCGTGTGAGTTCGGCGGGGAGGAAGAGACTCGCTGTTGCGCCGAGAGAGCGCAGTGTTGAGTCCAGCGTGCCGTTGAACCGGAACACACGGAACCCTGATCATGGTGGTGGTTGAGGTAGTGAGATGATGAGAATGACGTTTGTAGTGATAGGCAGAGTGTAATCGAATAATAAAGAAGGCGTGAGGAACCAGCTACAACACACACACACATGCACACATGCACACATGCACACATGCACGCAACACACCAACCGTTTCGGTTGATCCACGAAAGTTCTTGGGAGTTGATGTTGCCTGGCCATTGGTGTACCTCGGCTTTGGCAGCGTGCACCTGAATAAAGAAGAGGCCTGTTCACATGCACATGCCGGGAAGCTTACTTCAGCGTGTGCGTGCACAAGTGCGTGTCTTTTCAGCCCAACACACCGCACCACACACCCATTCACATGTGCTCTTGTACATCACACCACGGCGCACCTTGGATGGTGGCCACCATGTAAAAGTCTTCCTCGCACGATGACGAGGAGATGGGCTCGGAGAAGTTGACGTGCAGCTTGGCACCATCGCTGCTGAGATCCGTGACGTGAAGGGTGTTATGGCCAAAGCACTGCGTGGACCACGTCAGGCTGTTTTGCGGGTTCGCCTCGCCTGCGACAACACAATACATGAGAAAGGCAGAAACACAAACACCTTCAGTGCACGCCCACGGGGCACGTTCACAGGGTGCCGCTTTGCACACACACACACACACACACACACACACACACAGTGGCGCACCGATGTACTGCGGAATCCATTCAAACGCATGCGCTGCCGACTCAGTGTAGCCCTGCATATTGGTCTGTTGCGTGCGTGTGTATGTGTGTGTGTGTGTGTGCATGAGAGATATTGTGCGTGTGTGTGTATGTGTGTGTGCGGTGGAGAGGCGAGGTGTCACAGAACTGAACGACTGACAGGTGGTCATTGACATGTGGAATCTGTCAGCGGATGCAACGCGTCATACCTGGAAGGAGGCCAGCCAAGCGTCAAGCTTCGTGCGAACATTGCGTGGCGTTGTTGGCGTCTACAGTTGGTAAGATCGTGTGTGTGTGTGTGTGTGTGGTGTGTGTGTGTGTGTGTGTGAGTGAGTGAGTGAGTGAGGGAGTGAGAGAGCGAGCGAGTGAGTGTGAGAGAGAGTGTGTGTGTGTGTGTGAGAGTGTGTGTGTGTGAGTGTGTGTGTGTGTGTGTGAACTCTGTGTGTGAGCGAGTGAGTGCGTGTGAGCGATGCAAATCGATCGCACTTGCATTAATCAAAACAAGCACACAAACATGCCTTTGCCTCACCGTTGTATCCCAGTGAAGGAATTCAGCCAGGTCCTCCACAAAGAAAGCCGAGTTGCCCAAGGTTGTCTTCTTTGGCATGGGCATCCCCAACACTGGCGTCGTCGTTCCCACAACCATCACCGCCACCAACACCACGGTGAACACACCCACGCCCGCAGGCAGGACTCGTCGTGCCATCGCCATCCTTGTTGCGTTTGCTTTGCGCTCCAAACAACAAACAACAATCAGAAAATATTTGGATGTCTTTTGCTAATCCTCCAAACTCGCGTCTGTCCGGTTGTTGGTTAATGTGATTGTTTGACTTGTTGGTGTTGGTGTTTTCACTTCTTGCTTGTGCATGCACTTGAACGGACACTGGGAGCGAGGATGGAGGCCACAGCAGCGCCTGTTGTGCCTGCGCGGTGTCGCTGCGGCGTGTTTGTGGACGGCCACGTGCAGATGAAGGAGGTGTGTAATTTGGGACGTGTCCCGCAACGATTGCGCCGTCATGTTCAGCTGTTTCCCTCGCGCACACAATCACTCACAATTACACACACACACACACACACAATCGCAATCGCACACACACAATCACAATCACACACACACACAATCTAACACACACACACACGCATAACGCCTGCCTGTCTGCTGCGTAGATTGATACCCCGCGACTGGATGGAACACCGGCTGGCACTGTGTTGATCCGTGGCATCTACACGACCATCTGCGGATCGGACATGCTGTACATCCACAAGCCTCGCGACATTGACAGGTGATGACCGCAAGTGCTTTCCTTGATGGGGGTGCGCGGTTGCCTGCACAAGCCCACAACGATCAGGCCTCACGGTTGATTGCCACCTTGCGGAACGCAGCTGCGATGGCGCTTCGATTCACGAAGTGGTTGGAGAATTGGTTGCAGTGAACGGTGCCAGTCTTGATGCGACAGAATTCGCCCTGGGAGACATTGTCCTCGCCATGCCCAGCAACGTGAGGTTCATGAGAGAAAGCGAGTGGGTGTCGATGGGTGGGTCGGTGGATGAGTCAGTGATGAATAGGACAGATACGTGCCTGTCAGTGGCATTCACTTGCATGCACAACCTGGCATATGCACGCTTGCATATGCACACGCTCGCATGCACACATTCACGTGTTCTCTTTTGACAGTACATGGAGAGTGGCATCTATCGACAAGTGCACGAGGATCTCAAAGCGAAACTGCGCCGGATTCCCCTTACAGGCGGTGAGAGTGCAACTTGGGTGGTCGTGCGATGCATCTGACCACTAACATGCAAGCATGCCACGTGTGCACATAAGCCACCCTCTTCTTCCTTCTCCACCGTCTGCAGTGCCTCACAGTCGCATTTGTTGCTCGCTGCATTTCAGGGCTGTGTGAATACTTTTACTCCCACATTTCACACATCTTCAAGATCCCTGATCCACACAGCCAAGTCGTTCCGTTGCACCACTACACAGCAGCACAGGTGCGCCGACAGCGCGTGCACTCTGATCATGGGATCTGTGTTTGTGTCTGTGTGCGTACGCCTGTGTCGTGTGCGTGTGTATGTATCTGTGTGTTGTGGTGCAATACAAGCGTGCAGTTGTTGAGGTTCTTTGTGCTGCGTATGCCTTCACACACGACACGCTTCGCGCTTGGCTAGCCACTTGGTACGCTGCTGTGGATGGTTCGCAAAGTGCCAAATTTGCTCTTCAAGGACGTCGTCGTCTACGGCGCCGGCCAAAACGGTACACACACGCGCGCGCGTTTATTGTTATTTCTTTGCTTGCGTGTGTGTGTGTGCGTGTGTGTGTGTGTGTGTGTGCGTGTGTGTGTGTGTGTGTGTGCGTGTGTGTGTGTGTGTGTGTGTGTGTGTGTGTAATCGGACGTGTATTCCACAATGCGACTGCGAGATATCATTGCTGCATCACTGCCTCACACAACGTGTTCCTGTATCACGCACATGATGAATGGGCCTTGCAGGCTGTCTTCTGGTACACGTTCTCAGCAACATGGGTGCACGCCGTGTCATTGCTGTCGACCTCGTGCAAGGTTTGATCTGAGAGAGAGAGAGAGTGTGTGTGTGTGTGTGTGTGTGTTTGTGTGTGTGTGTGTGCTCTTGACATGGCGCGTGTGTTCCCTTGGCTGCATGTTCACGACGTCACTAACACATTCACACACAAACAACATGCATACACACCCAATCTTTTCCTCCAACGTGCGCATTCGTGATTTCGCAGAGCGATTGGACGCCGCGAAGGAGATGAGAGCCACGCACACCATTCTCGGTGGCAACCACGATGAGGTGTCACACACACGCGTGCGCGCACACACTCATGTACACTTGCTCAACGCACACATTTCATACACATTTACAACTACACACACATACATGCACACACACACACACACACACACACACACACACACACACACACACACACAAGTAGCTTACCGTGCGTCACCTTATCACCACCACCACCACCACCACAGGTTGTGCGCCGCGTGCGTGAGATCACAGATGGCGGTGCGGATTTTGTGTTTGAGATGGTTGGTCACCAGCAGGAGACCCTAAGCGACTGCACGCGTATCGTGCGTGATGGCGGCGCCATTGTTGCTTTTGGTGTTCCCTCCGATGACACTTACACCGACTTTCCTTTTCCCACCCTCTTCCGTCGCAACATCACTCTCGTACGTCAATCACACATGCGCGTGTGTGTGTGTGTGTGTGTGTGTGTGTGTGTGTGTGTGTGTGTGTGTGTGTGTGTGTGTGTGTGTGTGTGTGTGTGTGTGTGTGTGTGTGTGTGTGTGTGTGTGTTCGTGCTTGACAAGTTGCAATGTGACTCTACAACACCCACTCACACGCACACACGCACGCGCACACGCACTCTCGCACACCCACACACATACACATACACATTTACACACGTGCGCACGTGGACAGATGACGAGCGTGTTCCCGCTGGCGGATGAAGACTTTGGGTTTGCCGTTGAGATGATTGCGCAACGGCGTGTGAATGTTGGACCATTATTCCGGTCCTCGTGGTATTCGCTCGCAGACTCAAACGCAGCTTTCGTTGACACCATGACCAAGAAGCATCAAGTGCTCAAGGTCATCATTGACCTCACAAAGTGACCGTTGTGTGTGTGTGTGTGTGTACAACGGCCCATCGTCTCGTCTGTTGAACGGTCCCTCTCCCCCAGTTTGCACACTTCACCACGCTTCGCATTCATCACAACACGAGCCGTGTGTAGTATTGAGAGAACTTGATGCAAGCATCAACGTGTCAATAGAACGAAATGACACAACAGTAACACGCAATCCCATCAAGAACATGGCAGACAAGAGCACAACAAAGGTCAACAACGGTCATCAAAGGTTGACAGTGGAAGGCCTGTTCCCTGGGCAAGTTATGAGGATGTGATGTAAGCAGTCTGCAAAATGGTGCTACTTGGAAAAGGTGTCTGCTTTGTTTTGTTTGCTTGCAGGCAAGACTAACGTAGGTAAAAACGGAGAGTCGGGCGATTCGGTGTGTCTGGGAGCAATGTAACGTTGTAACTACGCTCAGCCTCGAGTCAACGAGCAAGAGAACGCACCAACACAACGGCAACTTGAGTGCTCTCGTGTGAGTGGAACAGGACGCAAATCATGTAGTCGACTAAATGTGACGCATCATTGTGGTGTGCACAAGCTAAGAACTGAAGAGAAACGGCTGTCTGGTAAACAATCACAAACACAAACACAACTCTGAGATCTTCACGCTGGCATGCTTGTTCGGCTGTGGGACGAGGATGGATGCTGGTCGCGGTGGCGGTGGCTCATGGCGCCTGGCTGGGCTTGGCCTTGGCATGCGTTGTTGTGGGGCGTGGTGCAGCGCCCGGCAAATAGAGCACACGGCACACGTCATCGTCCCCCGCCTTTTTGTCGGAGAGGTGCAGGGCCGTGGCAGCGAGCGATGTGTAGCGCAAGCGGTGATCGCCGGGGGCCGTGTATGCCGCAGTTGGCATGCTGTCGAGTACCACCACCACGTCATCATCGTCATCATCATCATCATCGTCACCATCGTCACCATCATCATCATCATCACCATCATCATCATCGTCGTCGTCGGCGGCGGCGGCGGCGTCGGCGGCGGCGATACAACCATCATTGTCATCATCACCACAGTCTTCAACATCATCGCGTGCGTCTGCAACATGTTCGTCGGCGTTCCCGAGACTGCAATCACCATTGCAATCGCCATCACACCCACCGCCACCATCCCTCAAACAGTCATCGCACTCATCATCATCCTCCTTGTTCTCGTGGCCAGCTGTGGGTGCTGCTGCGGTGCACACGCCCCCCTCCTGCGGCCGCTTCCTCTGGCCACCACCACGACGTGCAGTGCTGTCAACGAGACCAAAGATGGTGCGCAGTCGATGCAGGAGAGCATCTTGGCGCGACGGCAGCTGCTCCTGTCGCAAGTTATCGCCAGGTTGCATCATGCGCTGGCGGCCTGATGTTGTGTTGCTGGCGGTGCTTGCTGTTCTGCTCCGAGAGGCGGTGCTGCAACTGCTGCTGCCGCTGCTGCTGCCTGCGCGAGCTTGTGCGGCTTGCTGGTACTGCGAATGTGCGGGTTGCACAGCACCCGGTGGTGGTCGTGGCGTCATCACTGCCATCATCTTGGCGCGCTTGCTCGTTTGCGTTTGCGGCTGCTCCTGCTTGAAGCCATCGCCTCCACCAACACACGCGCCACAGCTCTTATACTGCTGCACTTCGTCGCTGCCGTTGGTGTTGGTGGTGTTGTCGTTGTTGTGACACTGCAAACAGTGTTCCCCGCACGCCTCCGTCGCCTCAGCCCGTGCTGGCTGGAGCCTGGTATCAGCGGCATCCATCGGTGTTGTCTGCTCTTCATGGCTGGTCTTCCCGCTGCCATCATCACCACCGACCTTGCTCCGTTTCGCCCTCGTCTCGCTCTTGTCCTTCTTCTGCCTCTTCTTGTCCTTCTTCTGCCTCTTCTTCGTGCGCTTGCGGTTGAGTGATGGCAGCACAATGGCCACATTGAAGTGGCCCGCCAAGTCCACACAGACGGGTATGCACGCAATGTCTGGCGCGCGGTAGGCGTCCGACTGCACCTCTTCCTGCTGCTGCTGCGCGCTGCCCTTGAACAACTGCTGCGGAGCATCACCCGACGTGTTTTTGTCTTGCACGTGCACATTGGCAGCGGGGTGGCTGCGCCTTGCGTCAGCGACGGGGCTGCCCAGCCCGGCCCCAGTCATGGTCATTGTGCGTGGCTCACACGGCACTGTGACAACAGGCAGTTGCGGCAGCCGCTGTGGATCAATCAGCGAGCGCTCTTGCTGCTGCAGGGGATGAAATGCTGGTGGCTGTGGTTGTAGCTGTGGTTGTAGCCGTAGCTGTGGTCGTGGTTGCTGCTGTGGTTGTAGCTGCAGGTGTGGCACGGGCGGCGGTAGCTGTGACATGATGGACTGCTGCTGCTGCTGCTGCTGGGTCAGCCATAGCGGTGGCGGTGGCGGTGGCGGTGCTGCTGCTGTTGTTGCTGCTGCTGTTGCTGTTGTTGGTGTTGTTGTTGTGAGTGGTGGTGGCGGCGGCGAGAACATGCTCTGCTGTGCCGGCTGCTGTACGTACTGATATGGATACTGCTGCTGAGGCTGCTGCTGGTAGTATTCTTGTGGGTGTGGTTGTTGTTGTTGTTGTTGTTGTGGTGGTGGCGGCGGTTGCTGTTGGTGGTGCTGCTGACGTTGTGGGGGTGGTGGCTGTTGCTGTTGCGGTCCCTGGCGGTGAGGTGGAGGAAAGCAGATGACGTGCGACAAGTCCCGCAAATCGTGCCCGGTTGTGTCCTGTGTCCACACGGGCACATCGTACAGCATGCAGTTGCCGCGAATCAGGCAGCCGTGCTCATCCGTGTACGCGTAAATGTGGTGGGGACAGAGCGGGGCTGAGATTGCCGCTGCTGTCGCTGGTGCTTGTGTAGGCGCCACCCTTCCTTGGTGTTGCGCGTGATGGCGTGGTTGTGCAGAATGGTGCTGCCGCTGCTGATGGACGGTGGGATGGGAACGGCCTGCGTCAGACACACGCTGGCGGTGCTGGGCTTCTTGAGGGTGCTTACTCCGCTTGCCAGGGTGGCTGTCCTGAGGGGTGGTGTCCTGGTCCTCCGTCTGCTCCTGCTCCTCTTGGTCCCACTCCTCAGTTGGGGCAACAACGGGCAGCTCCAGCACAACTTGCCTGCGGTACACGGCAAACAGGGCCTCTTCCTCCAGAAACAGGCGCTCCACAAGAAAGTTGAGGCTTGGGCGGAGCAGGTCTGCAGTGCCTGGCCGCTGCCACACAAACCGCAAGAACGCCGCGCGCCCTGGGATGACGTCGGTGCTGCGCAGCACGTGGGCGAGCTCAAACACGCCCAGGGGACCCGTGAGGAAGTTGGTGCGCTCTGCGGGCGAAGCAAACTCGCAGGAGCGCGCTGCGACATACCGCTGCCGCATGCCGGCAATGACGGAGATGATGGTCTCGATGGCGGCGCGGAGTGAGGCGCCACCAGTGCCAATGTCGCATAGCAGGCTCACGAGGGCCTCGCGGGCGAGCCTAGCGTCAGCGTCAACACCGTCACCTTCACTCGCATCACTCGTACGCTTGGCCCTTTCCTTCCTCTGCTGCTGCTGCTTCTTCTTCTTCGCCCTGCTGCTCTTGCTGCTGTCCTTGCTGTCAGCGGTTTGTGCGGACAACTGGCGCTGCGGGCGGCGGTGCTGGCGGTCTGCGGCCTCGCGTTCGCGTGCTTGGCCAATGTGCCGATTGAGGAGATAAGTGATGGCCAGGGCAATGAATCCGCACAGGAGGTTCGAGACGTGGTGGTGCTTGGCGACTGCGCGGTACCAGTCGCTGGTTTGGTCTGTCACCTTGATCTCGAGCACCTTCATCTTGATGCACAACGTCAAAGGTGATCAGAGGGATTGCGGGGAGTTGTGACACGGAGGGGAGGGGGTGGCGCAGACAAAAGGGGAAGGCTGCTGCGCCCAGGTGCTGTCGGCTGTCTCTTGCCTTCTTGTGCTTGTTCGTGTCGCCGTGCAGGCTTTTTGGCTTGGTGAGGGCGTGAATGCGCGAAAGTGCCCTGTCGGCAAGCAAGCGGAGAGGAAAAATGAATGCGTGCAGGCATGCATGCAGCAGCAAGCAGAGTGGAACCAATCGCAGGGCAATGTCAATTGAATGCACTGCACGGTACAGATATGAGATGAGATGCATGGGTGCGATGTCTCGAGTTGGCGTTGTTTGTGTGGTGTAATGTGACTTGGTGGCTTCATTGTTGGTCAGGTGGTGGTGGTGGTGGTGGTGCTGCTGCTGCTGCTGGTGGTTGGTTGGAATGCGGCATTGTTGACAAACTGACCTTTTGCTGTAGGCTGTGAGGGCGAGGAGGAGGTTGCTCACGCGTTCCGCTTGTGTTGTGGTGGGAAGCGGCGACACCGTGGTCGTCGTCGTCGGTATGGATGTGCCCTCGTTGGCTTTGCGGAGAGAGGTGTGAATGCGAAGCGCAGGTGTTGCCGCAGGTGTTGCAGCGCCTGATCTCACGCCAGCTCTGCGCCTTCACGAGCAAACCCAAAACGAGGCGCAAGGGTGCACGCAACCAAGGGAAAGGGAAGCGACGATGTCTTCTTGTCTTGCTTGGTGATCTCTTCTATTGTCGTCGACAGCGGCGGGTTGGTTCGTGTGGTTGTGACCGCGTCTAGCCGTCTTGGTTGGCTGGTTGGTGGTTGTGGTTGTTGTTGGGTTTGGGACTTTGGGAGGGGAACAGATCAGCCGGCGCAGGAAGAGGAGCAGGCAATCGGGTTGCTTGGCTGCTTGGGGTGAGCGATCTGGTGATGGCGGCGTGTTGCAGAGGTGGCTGCGGTTGGTTTGGGTTGATGCGATGCGAAATGCGGAACCAACTACACCAACCAACATCCCCCCATACAAGCCAAACTCAAACAAAAAGTTTGCTGCGCGATTTGCTTGCCTGCACGCACAAGAGCAAGCAACAAGGGAAATACACGAGACATGCAAAGATGCGCCCCAATTTGGCTGGACGATTGCCCAAAGATATCAGATAATCGTCCGCAGCCCACGGAAGACGTGAGCAAGTTGGCGGCGGCAAGTCCGGAAAGCGAGCAAGTCAGCAAGTAAGCGAGTAAGCGAGCAAGGGCGACGTTCGTTCGTGCCGATCCGATCAGAGACACGAGAGAGAGACAGGGAAGCGCACAAAAGGTGCAAGGGTGGAGGCGAGTCACAACACAACAGCACACCAACACGGGAAACGATGCTGGAGTGGGTTGTGTGGGAAACGACCGCGCCGCTTGCGGTGTATGCTGCAGCAACAGCTGCAAAGGGAGGCGATTCAAGGGCTTCAAAGCAAGGTGCTGCTGACGAAGGTGCCGTGACTGTTCACCACGCATCTGTGGACATTACCAGCAACAGGGTGTGCGCCGTTGTCGAGGTGAGCAGTCTGTCTACGCGTGTTGTATGTGCGTGTGTGAGTGAGTGGTGCGTGCGTGCGTTGCGTGTCGGGTAAAATGGATTGTGCGAGGAAAAAAAGGAGAGCGCTACTTGTGTGTGTGCACTGCGTGTGTGTTGGCTATCGTGATGGAGCTGTGAGATGATGGGTGGGGCCGCCGGCCTGTCGTGCTGCGAGGCTTGAGTGGGTGTGTAGTGATGTGCGTTGGCGTGTGTTTTGGGTGTGTGTGTGTGTGTGTGTGTATGTGTGTGTGTGTGTGTGTGTGTGTGTGTGTGTGTGTGTGTGTGTGTGTGTGTGTGTGTACTATCGCTTTGCCATGCATCCCATTCACTCACTGACACCCATCCTGACGCACATGCGCGCATATGCACACATTCACATACATACACATGTGCGCAGTCGCAGGTGCCCGTGAATGTGTACCACGTGCCGACACTGCTGCAGCGCGCCCGCGAGCTCAAGGCCGCCCTCACAAACGTCAACCGCCTCTTCTTCGCCACAAAGGTTAGTGTGTGCGTCTGTGTGTGTGTGTGTCTGTATGTGTGTGTGTGCATGTGCGTCTGTGTCTGTGTCTGTGTCTGTGTCTGTGTCTGTGTCTGTGTCTGTGTCTGTGTCTGTGTGTGTGCGTCTGTCTGTCTCTCTACTCTCCACCTCCACCTCACTCATCCCCTCATCGTCACCATCGTGTATCGTTGCTTCCACAGAGCAACACGCACCCCCGCCTGGTCCGTGCCATCCACAGCCTTGGGTTTGGGCTGGAGTGTGTTTCGCTGCAGGAAGTGGAGTACGTCATGGCAGCAACGCACGCCAGCCCGGATCATGTGCTCTTCACGCCAAACTTTGCAACCAGGGATGAATACGCAGCAGCCATCAAGGTAAGAAAGAAGCTCGGCACGGTGGAAGGGCGTGTGTGTGTATGTGTGTGTGTGTGTGTGTGTGTGCGTGCATGTGTGTGTGTGTGTGCATGTGTGTATGTGTGTGTGTGTGCTTCGTGCTGTACACCTACACTTCGCACGTGTTGCGTGCTTGCGTTGTGTTCATCGTGCATCTGTCGTCGGTCAAGGCTGAATGGTGCCTTTGTACAGCACGCAACCATGCTTCCTTTTGGTCAACACAGCCACCCACCATGACACGCCGTCGCACACACTCTTTGCCTCCTGCCTGTTTCCCTCCTGCTTGCTCCACACGGCCCCCTCAGCTTGGCGTGCATGTGACTGTTGACAACGTCTACTGCCTGCGAGCGTGGCCGGACGTTTTCACCGGTGCGTCTGTCGCGCTGCGCATTGATCCCGTCAAGGGGCGGGGTCACCACAAACACGTGGTCACGGCAGGCTCCCAGTCCAAGTTTGGGATGGGCATTGAAGACATGCCGGAGGTGGTGCAGATATGCAAGGACAACAACATCACAGGTGTTTTGCATGTGTTGTATTGTGTGCATGGGGGGGGGTCGTTATCGTGCATGCTATATGCTGTGTTGTGTTGTGTTGTGTTGTGCATGCGTTATGTTGGTGTGTGTGTGTGTGTGTGTGTGTGTGTGTGTGTACGTGGGGGGATGTTGTGTTGTGTTGTGTTGTGTTGTGTTGTGTTGTGTTGTGCATGCGTTATGTTGTGTTGTGCATGCGTTATGTTGGTGTGTGTGTGTGTGGAAACAATTACCATAGTGCCGCGTACCTACCTCATGGCTCCACCATCACCATGCTTGTGCACCGTGTCCCTGCCGTGACCAGTGGTTGGGCTACACTGCCATAGCGGCAGTGGCATCTTCGACCCGGCCACGTGGAACGAGCACGCCGCCTGCCTCATTGCCGTCGCAAAGCAGTTCCCCGCGGTCAAGTGCGCTCGCACCATGGGAGTGACTTGTGTCACACTCGTGTTCTTGTTGTTGTTCTCGTTCTCGTTCTTGTTCTTGTTCTCGTTCTTGTTCTTCTTGGTGTTGCAGTTGTGCGCGGTGTTTCGTGGGCATCATGCTTTGGCTGATTCACCATGACTCCCGGCTGCATCGCTTCTCCCCTTCATTTCACGCCTTCCTGCGCAGGTTCATGGACATTGGCGGTGGTCTCGGTGTCCCATACCGCTTCACGGAGAAGGTGTTGCACCATCATCCCCACCTCCATGATCAACACGCGCGCGCTCTTACAGTCACATCAAGCCTCGCGCTGTCTGCCTACTCACTGTGTGCGTCTGTATGACGTGTTTTGTATGTGCGTGTATCTGTGTTATGTCTGTGTGTGTTTGCGTGTGTATGTATTTCCCTGCATGTCTATCTCTCTGTGCTGTCTCTCTCTCTCTCTCTCTCTGTGAACCTTTCTGTGGCCCTTCTCCGCAGCGCCTGAACCTGGACAAGGTCAATGAGGAGCTCGCTGCCATTCTTCATCCGGTCCGTCATTACCGCTGATTTCATCACACACACACACACACACATACGCGCGCACGCATGCGTAATGCTTTACACCACCTCACCTCATTTCTGATGTGTCAACTTTTCCATCCCAC